GAAAGAGAGAGAGAGAGAGAGAGAGAGAGGGAATCAGGGAAGGGGAGAGAGACGGAAGTGGGAGGGAGAGAGAGAGAGGGAGGGAGAGCGACAGGTACGTCATCAGGGCGCAGGCGCAGCGGAAAGCGAGAGAAAGAATGACTGGTGGAAAATAAACAAAAATCTAGCAATAAACCATCAAACATCACCATGGTAGTTGCTGTGGGGGTGCGCGAGCAGACCAGTCAGACAGACAAACAGGGCGCGTTAAAGATGGCAAGGGATTTTTGAGTCGATTCACACCCACGCACGAAGCTGGAGCCAGAAAACAGCGCACACCCAGTCAGGGCCAGTCAGCGAGCGTCGCAGAGGCGCGCTCGCCGTCACACCAGCCACAGGGACGCACCACCATCGCCGTCCAATGACGTGCGACTCCACCGCATACACCAGCGACGGTCCGTGTCTCGCACGTGCAGCCACGGCCGCCTGCAATGCAGCCGTAGCGCAGCCACCAGAGCCCTGTGCCGCCAACCGTGCCCACATGACCTCGACACGTTCAGAAAAGATAGGAAAAGATTCAGTGAACATCTTTTTTTGCAATCGGGGGTAAAAAGCTCTTGTTTCCTTGGACACTATAACTTTTTGTACGCAAACCAACCAACAAAGTGTTTCCCTTCTGGGACCCCTCAGCCAAGAGGAAGCAGTGGTGATGTAGCTGGTGTTGGTAGGCCTGGGCCAAACACAGAATCAAGGCACAGTATGCAAATGGCTGGATAGTAGATGCCATATGCTAATCAGGTTGATAAGGGTAACGCTATCTAAACCCGAACGGGTGCAGTAATAACGTGGGCCTTTTCTCGAAGTCCCATCCGTATCAGTGTATGGCTTTTCAAACTCCTAATCACTCGATGAATCCAGGGGAGGCTACAAAAAGTGGCGACAACGGCAGGACTCGAACCTGCGCACGGAAACCGTAACAGATACCCTGAAACTATATTCGAGTCTGTCGCCTTAACCGCTCGGCCACGTTGTCACATTAATAGTATTCATTAGCATTAATAGATGCATAAATATGATTTGATCGTTGGTCCTTCATTTTCGTGACACCACCCAGGCAACTGCACCTTGTCTTGGACACTACAATAGTGCCCTAGAACTCTTGGCATCTCTGCTTACTTAGTTTAGCTTTTGTGGAGCTTACATACAGTGTTTGTTGTAAGTCACTTCACAGACTAGTGGCTGTTTGTCACCTGGAGGCTCTGAGTGAGACGTGATTCATCCCATTTCAGTGCCCTGGGGCGAGGGCATTGAAATGGGGCTTGAGCATTGGAGTGGCATGGCGCACAGCTGGATATTTGAAGGAAAGAAGAACACTGGCTGACATGGCTGACGCCCCAGCTCCCCCCACCGCCGACGGCGAGAAGGCCCACATTGACCCTGTGACGGGCGAGAAGATCTCAAAGAGGTGTGTATAGTTCGCGCGGCCCCGCGTGCAAAGGGTGCACCTCCTCGTCCACCCTATTTTACCGCTTGCCGGACTTCACCGCGTTTTTGCTCTCCTTCGTCACTTGTCGTGACCTTTCCGGAAACAATCACGCCTCGTCCTCGTTGGCACCTCCCTGCCTCCGCGCGGGCAAATGCGTGCCGTCCCTCACCGCCGTGTTGTAGCTGCGGCCTGCCGCGTTACATACGCCCACACTGCAGTGGCATGCCTCTCGTTGTCTCGGCCCAGCTTCGTGGGCGTCCCCCTGCCTCTCCGCCTGCCTCTCAGGCCGTTACGCGTGCTTGAACTGGGATCCCGACCTCTACTTCTCCAGCCCACCATTGTCCCTTCCATGCGCGCCTCCCACAACAACGCCCAGACTGACCCCACTCATTCCAGCGAGCTGAAGAAGAGGCAAAAGCAGCGCGAGAAGGAGGCCAAGAAGGCCGACCGCGCGTCCATGGCAGCAGCTGCCGCTCCCGCCGCCGCCGCTGCAACAGCGGCTGCGGCGGCCCCCGCCGAAACCGAGGACGACCTTGACCCGCGGCAGTATTTTGAGCTACGGTCGCGGCAGATCCAGCGGCTGCGCGAAACGGCCAACCCGGCGCCGTACCCGCACAAGTTCAACCCCACCATGTCGATGACCGAGTTTAAGGAGCGCTTCGAGACATCGATCAAGGACGGCGAGCACCTCGAGTCGGTCGAGGTCGCACTGGCTGGCCGCGTGCACAACATGCGAGACTCTGGGCAGAAGCTGCACTTCCTGGACTTGCACGCCGAGGGCACTAAGATCCAGGTGCTCGCGCAGGCCGAGCACCACACCGGCCTGCCGGCCTACAA